GGGTCCATTCATAAAATCCAAAATCGAACAATGACTATTTCCAATATTTATCCTAACCCAGGCATTGCCAGGTACCTAGACCAGTAGATATATAAAATAGGTATAAATTCAAACATTTACTGATAACAATTCAGCATTTGAAAGATTTGTAAACAGGATGATTTTCATTTTTATGGAGTATAGCTGAAGCATTTCCTGCAGAGTCAACTGCTAACATATTTGTTTAAATGTCTAGGTAGCATTCAGAAATCTTTTACTGTTGCCAATTTTTTCGTGATCTCAGAACTGAACCAAGGAGACCCCATTTTGGATTGGGACACACAGTTTAAGAAGCAGTGTCCTAGAAGGCTTTTGAGGGCAAAATAAAATGTTTGAAATGCAAGAGCCATGGCTAAGAGGGGGACAGCTGCAGTTGAAGGGAGCTTCTAAGTTTTCCTGGAGGGTTAATGTAGTTCTCTGTCTTCCACATTTGCCTATACCTGATGTAGGGGAATATGGACTGCACCATTGCAATTTTTTGTTTTGCTTTATTTTTAACATATTAATTCGTTCACTTGTCAAATATACAAAAAGAAACATTAAAATGATCAAAAAACAGAATGTAAGCCATTACACTTGACTAAGAGATAATAAGATAAAAATCAAAAGTTATAGCATTATTGTTGGCCAAAAAGAGAAAAAATCCGATAAGATTACTGGAAACTATGAGCAGGCTTGGAATACAAAAATGTGGCTCTACTGAAGATATACTTGCAAATCATACCATGAAAAGCTCTATGAAGAAAGGACTTGAAGTCCATATTTTGCAAATCATACTATGAAAAGCTCTTTGAGGAAAGGACTCCATCTTCTGGGTTGATGATGATGATGATTATTATTATTATTACACTCTTTTCAAGGATGGCTCTTTTCAAGGGTGGTGAAAAGAATTTCAAAGGAAAACTTCAGAGGAAGACATCCATGCCATGAAAGGAAATTAATTACAACCTGTTAATTATAGTGGAAGATGTTGTTCCTGAGGTTCACTTGCTCTTGGTCAAAGGATGATTTTAAAGCTTCTACTTCCTTAAACTATAATTATACAATGACAGCACATTTTATTTCTGTCGTGGGAGCAAACAATCCTCTCAGATACCTTAATTACACATTACTCTTATCACTTTAGTTTACATGACTTTAAGGAAGTACACAGTCTTAGCATTTCACACAAATGATCTTATTTGCCATGTGGCATATTTGGAAATGTGAATAAAAGAGAAGTGCAAAGTTTGTCTTAGCAATAAATATGGGGAAAATTGTGATAGCAACATTCGGGAAGAAACTGAATGTGCCAAATAAAAGAGAACAAGAGATTGAAAATGAGAAAAATATTGCATCATAGAGAATTCCTCTTAAGAAATCTTGAACAGGTAAAGTAGTGCTTCTTATCATTTCATGTAATCTAGTCTTGCCCTCTGTCCAATAAAAAGAAAGTATTTCCCTTGTTCTATGAAATAAACATTCAGCAACCTGAAAAGTGTCACTGAGTTCTCCGTTCAGCCGCCTCACAATCTGCAATGTGACTACAGTTGATAAGAGTTGCACTGTAATGACATCTGGGGGACCACCTATTACGCAGATTTAGTTTATGTTCTGCTTAAAGTGAAGCATCTACTGAGCATCTGATTATTGCAAGAACAAAGGAAACTGCGGTATTATGTCCCCTAATTGGAAATAACAGCTTTACTAATGCAGCCTAAAACGATATGAGCTTTTTTGCACATCACAAACTGAACACAGCAGCAGATTTGACTGATTAAAATCCCAACCATCTTCCCATGTACACTACTGACAAGCCCCATCTGCCTAAATACTGAGTCTATTTACCCACATCCGGACAAATTTGACCCAATCCTACTACTACTTTTGTATCCAGCAGATCCTTAGACATACTCCAAACAAAATTTCTCATCCACTTCCCCCCCCCACACACACACACACACTTGTTTTCAGATGGTATTCCACTGCTAACGCAGATGATGTGATCTCCTTCACATGATACAAATGCCTAAGAGATGCTTTCTTTTCTAGAGATATGGCAATCCTTTGGAAAACTAGATTTTAAGGTTTCAAGGGGGAAGAAAAAAACCCATTATTTCATTTTGCATTGATGTTATCATCAGAACAGTTGAAGTAGCCTCTAAGGCCCTTTCTTCACTGCCTTATATCCTAGGATCCGATCCCAGATTATTTACTTTAAACTGGATTATATGAGTCCCCACAGCCAGATACTCTAGGATAAGCAGATAATCTGGGATCAGATCCTGTGATATAGGGGCAGTGTGGAAGGGGCCAAAGTCAGCTGGAATGAAGAGGAATTGACAAATAAGTCAAGGCTAACTTTAAATCAGTCTTAAAATCAGAAATTATCATAGCTAATTAAAAGTTAATTAAAACTAAGAATGCTTTTAAATCTCTCTCTTTGAGTAATCTTACCTGTCATGATGGATTTTATTACTGTTGTTGTTTATTTATTTATTTACTATATTTCTATCCCACCTTTCTCACGCCCGAAGGAGACTCAAGGTGACTTACAAATTCAAGGCGGCTTACAACAATCTAGTTTAATTCTATTTTAAGTTAGATGTTTGCAACTCTCTGTATGTGTTAATTAATTTGTAGATTGAAAATGACTTGAAAGCATTCAAAAACAACAATCAAAATGTGCAGCAAAGTGAAAGACAGCAGAAAAAAAGAAAGAGAAAAGCCGCATTACAGGGGAAAGACTCGGTGTGCATCTATACTGTAGAATGAAAGCGGTTTGACAACACATTAACTGCTGTGGTTCCATGCTAACAATAATAGAATCATAGAGTTGTAAGAAACCATATGGGCATCTAGTCCATGTGGCTTGAGTCAAGTTGTATCATGAGCTGAAGCACTATTTCAGAGAATAGAACCATAGACTCATAGTTGGAAGAAACCACATGGGCCATCTACTCCAACCCCTGCCATTCAAGAAAATCTCAATTAAAGTACCCCAACAGATGACCAACCTCTCGTTAAAAGCCTCTGAAGAAGGAGCTCCCATCCAACTCTGAGACAGAGATTTCCCCTGTTTAACAGCTTTTATGGCCTGGAAACTCTTTCTAATTTTCAGGTGGAATCTCCTTTCCTATAATTTAGACCCATTGCTTCAAGTTCTAGTCTTCTGGGCAGTAGAAAACAAGCCTACTCACTCATCTTTTCAAATATTTGAGCATGGCTAACATGGCTCCACTCAGCCTTCACTTCTGCATGAAATCATGGGAGTCGCTGTTTTACAAAAGCCTTCCGCCTTCTCTGTCGCAGAGAACAACAAACAATAACTTCCAGGATCTCATAGCATTAAGCCAAGGCAATTACAGTGATGTCAGAGTGAGTTCCTTCTACAGCTGTGATTCTTAACCTATGGGCTGTGGACTACCAGTGGGTTGCGAAGATGAAAATTTGTTATGTGAGCCTTCTTATCCCCCCCTTTTTATTTATTTTATTTCTGCTTCTTTCCTGCCACTCCTTCCCTGTTGCTGACCATGGCATATGTTCTTTATCAGAAACTAGAGCTGATGTGGTCTATCCAATGTAATTTTCTGAATCAGCACCCCAAATCGAATCTAAAGTTGTCCAAAAACTGATTCGTAACCCTTTTGGTACTGATCTAGGACTTTAAGATTGTCCAGGGAGGCCCTGCTCTCGATCCTGCCTTCATCACAAGTATGTTTGGCGGGGACAAGAGACAGGGCCTTTTCTGTGGTGGCCCCTCGGCTATGGAACACCCTCCCTAAGGAAATTAGATTGGCTCCTTCATTCTTAACGTTTTGGAGACAAGTTAAGACATGGTTATACAGGGTAAGGCAGCATAACTTCCTTTTTTAAAATGCGCGCCATTCAGTCGGTTGAAGACGTAGCGGAGTGCTAGTGGTCTTGTTCGAGGGGTTGGAGTATAAAGTTTTGTCCTGACACAGTTCAGTCGCCATCATGCGTTGGAACAGTGAGGGGCGTGCTTTTGCCGTTGAGGCCTACTCTCTGAGTGGATTTGGAGTGGCCGGCCCACTTTCCAGATTTGGCCCCTTGTGAATTTTTTCTATGGGTTTTTTTGAAATCCCGTGTTTATGTGAACTGTCCAAGGACCCTACAAGATTTGAAGACCAACATCCAGGAAGAAATTGACAACATAATGCCTGCTATGCTGGCAAGAGTCATGACAAACACCAGAAATTGGTTTAGTCAGTGTATGGAGAATGGGGGACATCACCTACCTAATTTGATCTTCAAAACTACGTAAAACAAAACTTTAGGTATGCGCCTACATGATAAAAAAATATACTTTTTTCTGATTCATACAATGGGTTTTATTAAGTTTTGAAAAAAGGAAGTTATGCTGCCTCGCCCTGTAACTGACATAGGAACTGGAATCACTTGACAATGGAACTTGAACAATGCTTTTTAACTAGGAGACGCTGATGACAATGGTGTTGGTTTTTATTGTTTCTATTGTGGTTTTATATTGTTTTAATGCTCAATTTGTATTTTGTTATTATGTGTACTGACTTGTAAACCGCCTTGAGTCGCTGATAGGCTGAGAAAGGCGGTATCCAAGTATAGTAAATAAATAAATAAATAATGTTGGAGAGTGGTCAAGTGGTCCCTGGTTAAAAAAAGGTTGGGAACCACTGTTCTCCAGTGTACGTGTACCCTCGCCCCTTGGAGGTGGGGCGCTTGACAACCCCAGGGTGCGACATTAGTACGGTGCCACCTGTTCTGTGTACTAATAGGGGCCTCCCCGCTCCCGACACACAATGTGAGCACCTCCTTGCACCTGATGATGGCCACAAGTCCTGCAAGGCAAGCATACTCCCGAAGAAGCACAAAGCAAGGCCCCGCCGCGGAGCATTCTGGGCCAGCGACTCCTGCCCATGGTAGGCCTCCCCACGCCCGGGCTCCGGCCTCCCTCCCTCCTTCCCGGCCTCTCTTCCCCTCACCTGCGAGCGCGGCGTTCGCGGCCCCGGCTCAAGCGGTCCGAGAGGCGGCCGAAGAGGGCGGCCCAAACCGGCCTGCCCCGAGGCAAATACTCGAGCAGCCGCCGCCATAGCACGGGAACCTCGGTCGCCACCGCCGCCGCCATGGAAACCCGGCTTCTTCCGTTTCCGAGTGGGACACTCTGCTTCCGGGTCAGGACTCGCTTTGACGCTGCGGCGCGGGCGGTGAGAGACCCGCCAATATGGCGGCGCCTACCGTGGCCCTCTTTACGCGGCTATAGAGCACGGTTTGAAAGGGCCTTATCGATGGCAGCGTCGTGGGCCCAGCCTTCGACGGTGTTTCTTCCCCGCTGCCAAATGGCCAAAAAGGCCAGTACAGAATAGCCCCTGGCAGAACATCCGGGCATCTCTGCCTTGTGCCTTGGATCCTTTATCACCAGCCTTTTGCGACAGTATGTGGGTTTGTTGTGGAGTGGCGTCTAGTGGTTTGAGTCTTCCACTATAGATACGTGTGGTGTGGAATGAATGCGGTTGACACTGCTTTTATTACCATTGCTCAATGTTGTGGGATCCTGGGATTTGTAGTTTGGTCAGGCACTAACACTCTTCGGAAGATAAGGCTAAAGACCACGTCAAGAGAAGTACAAGTAAAAGTTTCCCCTTGACATTAAATCTAGTTGTGCCCAACTCTGGGTTGGTCCTCATCTTCATTGCTAAGCCGAAGAGCCAGTGTTGTCCGTAGACACCGCCAAGGTCACGTGGCTGGCATGACTGCATGGAGCACAGTTACCTTCCTGCCAAGGTGGTACCAATTGATCTACTCAAATTTGCATGTTTCCGAACTGCTAGGTTGGCAGAAGCTGGGCCTAACAGTGAGTGCTCACCCCTATCGCTGGATTCGAACCACTAACTTTTCGGTCAGCAAGTTCAGCAGCTCAGTGTTTTAACCTGCTGTGAAATAGGGGGCTCCTCATGTCAAGATACAACTCCCATAATTCCTAATGGGAGAGACAGTGTGGTTTAACGTATCAACTGGCATTCATTCCACAGTGTAGCTGGCCCCATGGCACAAGACCAGGGTTCAAATCCCCCCGCTCAGCCTCAGAAATCCCCTGAATGACCTTGGACACAGCACATTCTCTCAGCCTCAGAAGGAGCCAAAGGCAACCCTCTCCCCACCCCCGAACAAATCATGTCAGGAACATCCCATAAAGGGCTGCATTTGCACAGCATAGTGGTCTGAGTGTTGGATTTATCTGTAGACCAGGATTCGAATTTCATCCATGAAAGTCACTGGGTGACTTTGGACATACTCAGTCTCAAAGGGAGCCAACAGCAAACCTCTTCTGAACGTATTTTGCCATAGGCCCACCATAGATTGGAAACTACTTTAAAGCACACAAGTCCTCCTGTATTGCACTTACTCTCAAAACCACACAATAGTGTGGATTTCATACCATTATCACGAGCAAGTCATTATTCTAAACCTGTAATTCGGTGCACACTAACCTGGGATTTGGCCTTGTGAAATTAGAGGGTGGGGGTTCTGTGGGAAAAGTGCTGTGCTTGTAAGATCTCTGGCAATGTGGCTGGTATTTCTATCCTAATTCCTCCTGCAAGCGCTGTACTCTGGTTAGTGTGATGCTTGAAGTGAAGAACCAGCTGGAATTACTACACTACTTTCATGGCCAGAAAAATCATAACATGCAGTTCTTTCCAAAGTTGCCAAAGTAGCCATTATAGCCTTCCATGCATCCCCACATGGGAATTTACACACAGTAAATGGACAGAGTTTCCAAACATCTCACGGCAGTCTCAGAACTCATGAAACTGAAACCCATTCCCCCCAAATGCTGTTTCCATTAGCTACCCATCAACTTTCAAAGTGACTTCAGCCTGCCCTCTATATTCACAAATTCTGCATCCCTGGATGGATGCAGTTATCCACAACTTGAAAAAATGTCTTTTAAACAATCCAAAATGTATACTAATTCATAGCCAACTAAGAGTAAATCTACACTGTCAAATAATGCAATTTTAAACTGCCATGGCACTTGTAACTGCCACGGCTCAAAGAGTTTGGTGAGACACCATCTCTCTTTGGCAGAGTTGCAAAACTATAACTCCCAGGATTCCATAACACTGAGCCATGGCAGCACAGATGGTGCCAAACTGCATTCATTCAACAGTATAGATCAGAGTTTCTCAAACTGCTCCTCCAGGTGGTTTGGATTACAGCTCCCACAATTCCTAACAGATGGTAAACTGGCTGGGATTTCTGGAGCTGAAGTCCAAAACACCAAAGTTCAAACATTTATGCCCATATGAGTAGTCTAAACTTGTTTATATTAAGTCGCACTGCATTCAGTGGCACTTACTTCTAAGACCTGTGCACAGATCTGAACCCTTAAAACAAGGCTGGGCATTCGGTGACTTTCCATATGTTGAACTCCCTTCACTCCCAGTCTATATGATCAGTGGTCAAGAATAGTGAAGCGCGGGGCGGGGGGGGGGGGGGGGGTACCGTATATTCCGGCATATAAGACGACTGGGTGTATAAGACGACCCCCAACTTTTCCAGTTAAAATATAGAGTTAAGACGACTCCCATGCATAAGACTACACGCGTATAAGACGACCCCTGACTTTTGAGAAGATTTTCTTGGGTTAAAAAGTAGTCTTATACGCCAGAATATACTGTAATTTTAAAACTAAGGCAGTTGATGGTCTGCAGATGTGCAGAAGGGTAGAACCAGTTTGTATTATGCATTAAGAGAGAAAAGAAGGTAGGGTTGCCAGCTTGTCTTGAAATAAGTCTGTTTCAAACAGAGTTACATCTCTGAAACAGAAAAAACAAAGAGGATCGTGTTCTGTACAGTACCATCATCGCATCCTGGTTTGCGGCTATGAAACAGACACATGGCAGATCTCAGGGGCAGAGGATGCATTTTGGAGAGATTTGAAGCAAAGTTTCATAAGAATTATAAGAATGGCACATTTCTGTACTTCTCCATGCTTTTTGTGGCCAAGAAATATAAATTGATTATTTGGGCAGAAACTGGCAGAACCCTTTGTTATGTTTTTATAAACATTAAATACTCTTTTACATAAAATGTTAATTGCTGACTCTGGGCACTTCCAGACAGCACCAAATCACCAGGGAAAGGGGGGGGGGGGATTGCCTGTTTTCCATCACATGTAAAAAAAAAAACCAAAACGGAACCTGTTGGTTCCAGGATTTCTGCCTTCAATGTCCAAACTTACTCTTTCGTTATGGGATTTTGAAGTCCACAAGATGGCCACCGCGGGACATCAACTGGGAATTTCGGCATTTAAAAAAACAAAATTTAGATGTGCAGATGTGAATATGCACATCGTTTGTATGAGTTTTGATCCTCGGTCATACATATCTGTTCCTCATTGCTTTTATCCTGAAAAGATGGCAGAAGTTGTCTAGAGGGTGAAAACTTTGTCCTGGCAAGAAAAACTTCATCCTCCACATGTTTAATGAATTTTGTGGCACACAAAAAAGTTTGTGGCGTAGTACCGCTACTTTCAAAGTCAGGATTACATCATTAAACAGGAACTGACACTTTCAAGCCAGGAACAGAACGTAGTTATTTTTATCATTCAGAGGCTGCATGGCCATCTGTCCAAACAGGTTTGGTCATGTACTTGTGCCTGGGAACTACGGGGTGATGTTCCTGGGTAATACATGTCTGTTCCACATTGCTTTTATCATAAAAACATGGGGAAAGTTGATTACATGAAAAAAAAACTTTGTTTGTGTGTCATAAATTTCATTAAACATGTGGAGGACGAAGTTTCTCTTCCAGAATCAAGTTTTCACCCTCTAGTCAACTGTTGCCATGTTTTTAGAATACAGCCAATCAGGAACCAACATGTATAACCCAGGAACAAACCAACATAAAAAACCCTGTATTTTTCGAGTGTATGAACATACAGAGATTCTAATATCTTCATTTTCCGACCCTAACTGGGATATTCCCCACAAATGAAAATCTCACATTTGTAGTGCTTTGTAGCAATTACTCCCATGTTTTCAGGGGACGTTGCTTGGCCAGATAAAATATAATACCTTATGATGTATTCTATGAAAGACAAAATAGGGAGGAGGAAATAAGCATAGCTAAAACACAATACAATGGTGTGTGTTGCTGCTGAACAAGAAGGAAGTGCTTAAATCTCCATACAAATACACTGGAACCAGAAGTCATTGTTCTCATAAATTTACACTCTCGTGTTACTGACACTTCATCTTGTTTGCTTCCCCATAATTAAATTCTGCAATGTTCCGTAAAGTTTTTTCTTCAGTAAATGAGCTCAGGATCACAACTTTCATACAGAATTATGTATTCAAGAGAGAGGAATGTTTGCTAAACCCAAAAAGGCACACTGAAATATTTCTGTCCTAGACGGCAGCTCCGTTTATCTTGAAATAGTTGAGAGTTATTTAGAGAAGCCCAGCTGCCTTCCCAGCATAAAGCAATAGAAAACCTTTTACTTTCGGAAAGGGAGAAGGTTTCACCCGCAATGCCTGGCAATTCTTCGGGCCTTTGAAATCAACTAATCTCCAAATCACTTCTCAAATAAATTAGGAGCAGAGGCTTTTCTTGAATTATAAATCAAAAAACATTTTCCCCACTGAAACCAGATCATGCTGTTCTCTCCCCACTGAGTTGCTAAACTCTGTTGCTATAGTGTTTGTGCCTCTGGTCAGATCCAAGAAAGGCAGGAAATCCTTACTTTGGGCTGTAATGGCCAGAATGTCTGTGATTCAGCCCTAAGGCAAAAACCATCAAAAATATTTGTCCAAAAGACATGCCGCCATTCCCAGATCCTCTTGGCTTCCCTGAAGATCTGAGATCTGTCTGGGTATCTGCCCATGGGCTTTTGACCAAAACCAATGGCATTCCATTTAAAGATCAGAGCACAGTTTGACTTCTCCTTGTATTTTCCCATTGTGGCTTTCACATCTGGCAGCAGGATACTAAAATACAGTTACAAGAGACCTTGTGGCTAAGGCAAGTGAGGAACAAAACTAACAGAAATTGCAAATATCTTCCAGTGTTTTCAATCATTTTTTAACCAATGATAGTATTTTGGAAGCAATGGCATTGTAAATTAATATTGTAATCCAATACACAACTAT